ATTACAATTTGCCGCTAAACATTCCCATTGGTATAAAAATGGCCCCACACAGCAAAGGCGAGCCGATGATAGGCATTAGCTTCTAATGTTTCCCCAAGAGGACTTGGCCTAAGTATTCTGCTTTACATAGCTATAGTCATAATTTCCTTCCGGTTCTTCAAAATCAGACTTAGATTTCTGAATATGGAAAATATAAGAGTAATGTTCAAATGCATTCCACACATGGAACAATCCGAAAATTCTATGTTAATCATCTCTGAAAATATTACAAAAACATAAGCGAACGGCAGTGTAATTTAATATGCTTCACTTCTATTTTTTCCTTAGTCTTCATGTTCCACACACTTGTATACAATTCCCTATTTTTGTTATATTGTATTTAATTGCCTATGCTAAAGCAAACATATTGCAGAATTGCCAATTATCTTATAAATATGTATTGCTTTCATTGAGAGGGCTTTCATTTTTCTGGAATTCCAACAAATTTCGATCAATCATTTATACCACAAAAATGTAGTAGTTTAGAAATCTTTTAAAAATTTGTCTGAGTTTTAGGTTTCTTATAAAATTTGGTCTAATGTTGGCTGAAGGCATGTCTCTATAATGTCAAAACACATAGTAATTCAATTATTTCAGTAAAATTTACTGTCAATTTGTAAGAGGGAAAAAAAATCAAACCGATGTTTTGACTTCATAGAGGGTAAACAACTGACTTATTAATTAAATCTTTTACTTTTCTCCAGTTATTTATTTGTTGTATCAATGTAGGCACAATTGTAGAGAACACAAACATTTGCTTGAGGTAAACAACATTAAAAAAGAGAAATTCTCACTATCTCAATGCAGTAAAATGTGTTGAATCACATACTAACAGTATTCATTTGGTGGGAGGAATGGAGCTCCAAAGGTTTATTATTCTCCAAGTGAACTTGACTTCCACATAAAAGCCAGCAGGAAGCCTTAAATGTGAAATACAGTGGATGGCAGTTGTGTGTAAATCTGATTAAAAATTTATTTGAAAATTCTACTTCCACCAGCTGATTAAAGAAGATGAGCCTGGTCATTTGATAAAAAGGAACTAAATTTCTAAAAATATATATATACACATGCAGAGGAGTTAATTGTTACAAAGGTAATGCTTAAAGAATCACTTGGTAGTGCTTTTCTTGAAACAAGCTCAGCCCAAGGTAGATTTAGTAGTGATTTTCAAAACATCCATAAAAGATTATTAAGCTTGGCATAATTCTTGCTCCTCTTTTGTAATTATGATCTAGTATGGAATTGCTAAGGAGATGTTAAAAATGTCTATCTTATTTACATTGGACATTATTCTTCAGAGGTGGTAAGAGCTACCTGCAAGTTATACAATATGTACCAAAATATTTAGCTGAACTAAATATTTTTGCCTTTAACATATTTTTTCTATTAATAGAGATAGGGTTTTGCCATGTTGGCCAGGCTGGTCTAACATTCCTGGCCTCAAGTGATCTGCCCACCTTGGTCTCCCAAAGTGCTGGGAAGTGTGACCCATCGCACCCGGCATAATTGAATTAAATATTTTTAACTGAAGATTCAGTTAACCTTGACTCGCTTGGCTCCAAGACCTCCAGCAGCTGATGGGATGAAATAATTTTCAATGCTTCTCAAAATAGGGGATTAAAATAATAGTAATAACACATTAGAAACAATTTTTTTCAATAACTGGACAGCTTACTCATACTCTTGCTACTCCCTTGCTCTGTCCCATCGAAATACTTGATTGCCTTAGAAAAATTCAAATGGGATCAGAATTCATAAATAATGGGTATCTCCAAATGGAATCAGAATTCCTGAATAATGGTTATCTCCGATAGTATTTGAACAAATGATTATGTGTAATTTTTGTGTGGCTTCGTGCCAAGAAGCCACACAAAAACCATTTTGATTGGCTTATTGGCACGAAGGAACACAAGATTATCCTAGTTTTTTAAAAAAATTAACATCTTATCAGATTTATCATTACTGTTAATAGTTTACAGATAACTGTAAATTCACATTTTCCATGGGTTATACAAGCAGTCTTCAATTCATAGTAGCATGTGACGGTAAAAATAGCCATCCAGGCTGAAATGTGCAAAGATACCTTAATAGTCAAGGGGAAAATAATAATAGTTTTATGACCTTTAAAGTTGTTTTTGTCAAAACATTAACATTACTGCTAATATTACTGTTAATGTAACATTAATCTTATTGTTAGATTGCTTGATCCCAGGAGTTTAAGATCAACCTAAACAACATAGTAAGACCCTGTCTCTACAAAAAGAAAAAGGTATCCGGGCATAGTGGCATGTGCCTGGGGTCCTACATAATCAGGAGGCTGAGGTGGGAGGATTGCTTGAGCCCAGGAGGTCAAGACTCTAGTGAGCGGTGATTGCACCATGCACTCCAGCCTGGGCAACAGCGCAAGACTGTCTCAAAAAAAAAAAAAAAAAAAAAAAAAAAAAAAAAAAAAAAAAAAAAAAGCAGTTTGAACAGTACTTGTCTTATTCTCATTACCTAACATAATATGGAGCAAGAGTCATTTCTGTGTTTCAACTAATTGTTATACACTCTTCTAAGTTTTGGATTAGCTTCCAACATTTTATCCTTTGCACTTCCAATGTCATAAAATATCTGTGAGAAATTCTTTAATGTCAAGATTTTTGCTGGTGTCTTCCTCTGGGACATCTTCCTCCATTTCATCACAACCATTTCCTCATTTATGCCGATAAGTTCCCTTTAGTTAAGTTCTTCTGCCTACAAATTGAGTCTTTCTAAAGACAACATTGTCACCCTTCCCATGATCGGCTATTTCTTCTATAACTCCGTTTACATGAAAGTCAAAATTCACTTCCAGTGTTACCATTTTTGTTTCTTTGCTGCACTTTCGCTTTTGTTGGCCAATTCCCTCTCTCAGTTATTCATTTTTGTAAAATGTCACATAGGTTTATCCCTGGGAGGCAAGGGGGCAATACAACTGCATGCTTTGTTGTCTATGTGTGAACTGAGATGCTCAGTGACCATTCAGTGACAAACGTTGAGAGATGTGACGTGATAAGCTGCTGATAGTGATATGCATCTGTTATTCAGTGATTTGTGGGCTGAAGAGCTAGCCGTGAAGTTTAGACTTCATGCAATTACTCACGGCTAATATACCATGGTTGCTAAAACTTGAACCATGTTGTTGGGAACTGGTGTTATTTAATTCAACCATGGTAACTGGAATCTGTGCATGTTAGAACCATGAGAAACAAGAACTGTCTGCATTTGATTTCTTAAAACAATTCTTAAGGAAAAGATTAAAACTGCCATAATCAGTGTCACAATAAGAGAGCTTGAAGCATTTACTTTTGTGTATAAACAAAACATGTGGCTCATTTTAAACCATTCATAAAAAATGTAATTTTATCCTCAATTTTTTTCCAGGGTAGAAGTGTTTTTTTTTTTTTTAAGGCTAACCTTACTGCCACTCACTCCTTGGAATTAATAAATGTAACTACTGATCAGATTCACAACTGAAATATTTTGTATTGACATGCAAAATAATTTCCTAGGATCATATTTGAGTAATAAACTATTACTTCTTTTAGAATTTACTTTACATTGGCATAAACACACAATCTCTTACTCATCCATGCATACTTAATGATGTATATAAAGCAATGACATTGAACCCACAGAAGGTACAGAGATCAGAATACAGATGTAGAAATAGTGCTTATATATGGAATTTATATATTGGATTATAACATATGTATACAAAGTCAGTTCTGTTATAGTGCCGGTTTGGGAATATGCATTTGCCCTATTAGGGAGCAATCTGAACACAATGCAAATTTTGCATTTGCTTATGCATAATTTCACATGAGAGAAACACTAGGTGTATGCAGAAGACTGCACCCAGATGAACCAAGCTGCACAGGGCTACACAAAATGCACACACCTCAAACATCTCCCAGCTACGTTATTTCACCATGCATATCCTGAGCCACATTTGTCCACACCCATGGTGACAACTGTTGAGTTTTAGCTAACCCTTTACAATTTCATAACAAGTAAAAGCTATAATCCTTCAGATGCTTTCTTCCACCAGCAAATTTCAGGTCTCTTTCAAGGTAAAATCCCATATTTATTATAGTATTTGTATATTTTTTTAACCATTTATGATGGAAAAAACTGTTACTCTTTTTTTAATTGGATTTCTTTTTTTTTTTAATGTGTCAGTGAAAATGGTATGCCCTAACCCCATAAGGCCTGTGGTTTTTATTGTGCAATTTTGCATAGTGCAGTGACTTTTTTTTAAATGCACACATCATGTTGCATAGTAGACTATAACAAGAATGTGCACGACTTTTCTCTCCAAAGATTACAATTTACTAGTATGAAATTATTTAAAGTCTGAGTGGTGAAGCCCATTGTGTAACATTGTTTTTCAGGGCTTTACACATCTAATGTGAGAAAGCTAAGTTTAAAAAATAGTCAAAAGGATGATTATCCAATCTAATTTCTAAAAACCAACCCACGACCGTGAAGGTTGTTTGCCTATTCTATCAGTAAATTTATAGTTGATACAAAAAATTTTTTCAGCGTCTGCAGAGAGGTTCTATCTGTCTAGCTTTGAATTGTCTAAACCAGTTGTTCTCAAACTTGAGTGTGCCTTGGAATCACCTGAAGGGCTTGTCAAATGGATGTTGCTAAGTTTCTGGATCATTAAATCTTGGGTAGAGCTCAAGAATTTGCACTTTCAATAAGTTCCCAGATAGTGCCAAGGCAGACTTATCCATTAGGCACAGTAAACACAGTGCCTATGGTCCAATTCACTTTAGTGGACCATGAAAATAGTTTGATTTTAATCTTTATTAAAATCAGAATAAAATAATTAACATGATAATGTATATGAGGAATCTAACATAGAATATATTCATCTTTATATTAATGCAGTTTAAAAATATTAATTCTATTTGTTTATTTTTAATGAACAGGGGGACATATGAAGGCAAAAGTGTCCCTGGTCCATGGAAGTCACAATGTGGCCTTGGCTGATGCAACTGTTGCTGCAGGAAGCATATGCTGAGAAGCCCGACTCTGAACTCACTGATCTTTTGAGATTTGTTAGTGTTCTGCTTTTCATTCTGAACTCTTTTGACTCTGTACTGTTTTTACCCAGAGGAAATAAAGTTTTTAAGCCCCCTGCAATGCAAAGGAAGTCAATGGAACAACAAGCTAGTTTAAGCTCAGGACATGTGGGGAACAACAAATGGTCAGAAATGTGTATCTGATGTGGTTGTTCTATTCCTTACTCTGATGTAAGTTGTAAATTACAACTATGTGTGTTGTACCTCCATCATTGCAAAAGAACCAGTTTAAAGATCCAACCAGTGAAGAATTTGGTCTATAAGATAATACCTTCATAACACTGTGTGTGGGTCCAGACACCATACTGTTTAAAAAGCACTTTTCCATTTAGGATCCATTTGTTCCTCACAACCTCCTGTTCAGCAGGCATTGCATTGTACTGAGAAGCAACATTTCTATATTTGGTAGCATTAAGAATAAACAAAAAATGTCCCCACCCCACAAATCAATCATAGGATAAGCAGAGTTTAGACAAACAGTGCTTCATTACCATGGGGCAACTCTTGTTTTTGTTACAACTCCTGTGTTCCTTCTCTTTCCAAAATCATTGCTACAAAAACTCAACAAACGATACAATAAATGAATTCATATTGTATTATAACACCTTAAGCATTCTCAATACTCTTTCCTACTTAATATAATCGCTAATGAAAAAGAGGCTATAAATGAAACAAAGCTTTTGTTGTATTTTTGATATTATAGACATTTTATACATTCATTTTGGAAAATATGAAATCTACTGACTGCTGGGAAAAAGAAGAAAATAAAAATAATTCATAACCCCACTTCAGAGATAACCATTGGTAATATTTTGATATTATTTATATATATTGTTGATTTCCATATACAGTATTTTTTAAAAAACAGATGATATTGTTTATAATGTTTACAATTTTACTTTAAAGCTCAGCAATATATTACAAACCTAAAGAATAAATCATGGGGTTAAAATTTTTGCATGAAATTCCATAGGAATGGAGCTTTTATTATTAAATAACCAATTCTTTATTATTAGAGGTTTAGATAGTCTTTTATTTTCTGTTACAAACACGGCTCTGAAGAAATTTTTTTGTGTGTGGATGGTCAAACATTTATTTCTTTAATTTATAGAAATGGAATCCCTAGGTTAAAAAGACTGGCATTTTTAAGGTTTCTGACTCATATTTTCAAACTGCTTTTAGCTCCAGTACTCCTCCAATTAACATCAACAAGGAGGTACTGTGCAGTGAAACTGGTCCCATTATCTGATATAAAAAGACCAAATAACTCTGGAGGTACATTTAGCAATAGTGGAGATCTGGAGCAAAACATATAAATGTTGTCACTAATTGATAAGAATGCACCAAGTCAGGCTGTGGGGTGAGAGGGAGGAGACTGGGGAGGAGAAGGCAGCCTGGGCTATGAGCAAAGTGCTCCTCACTTCTGGGCCCTGGCTCCTTTTCCACACATCAGCTCCTGAAGGGTCTGTGTCTGGACAGAGGAATATCTCCACTCCAGCTGAAGAGGTAGTGACGGCAGAAGAAAAATTATGTAATTTTTTAATTATTATAAAAATTCTGCCTTTTAAATGGTGCCTTGGGGCGAAGTCCTGACCAGCTTATCCAAGTTTTAGTTCTGAGGGACTTCCTGTGTTTACCTTGGTGGTCTTGGAGAAGTGGTACAGCCCAGCCCCAATGGCAGATGACTCTGGAAGAGATCCTTCCAAAACAGCTTAAGTTTCACCCTTATGGGAAATCCGGATGGTAAGTTTCATCCTCATTGGAGTGGTAGGGCTCCCTGGAGTTTTGTGTTGAGAAGGATCCTGAGCTGCAACCAGAAGAGGTGGGCGGAGGGCTGTGATTGGTTGGCAATGTCTATTATGGGCACAGGAATGGAGACCGACACCAGAGTATTCAATAGGCCTCTTTCTTTTTTTTTGAAAGAGTCTTGCTCTGTCACCCAGGATGAAGTACAGTAGTGTGATCTCGGCTCACTGCAAACTCTGCCTCCTGAGTTCCAGCAATTCTCATGCCTCAGCCTCCCCAAATAGCTGGAATTATAGGCAAGCACCCACCCGACTAATTTTTGTAGTTTTAGTAGAGACCGGGTTTCACCAGGTTGGCTAGGCTGGTTTTGAACTCCTGACCTCAAGTGATCCGTCCTCCTCGGCCTTCCAAAGTGCTGGGATTATAGGTGTGAGCCATCATGCCCTGCACCCTGCCCCATTAGGCATCTCCTAAATTCCCTTTTAATTAATGCAACTGTTGGTCACCAAAACAACACTCCTCTAATTTACCTACAGCCAGTCCTTGTACAGGGCACACCTTCACCTCAATTATAGTAGTAGGAATCCACCTGCTCAAGGCTTTGTTTTTCTTTTTTTTAAAAAAAATGTTTTTAATAGCAACAGGGTCTCATTAGGTTGCCAAGGCTGGTCTCAAACTCCTAGGCTCATGTAATCTTCCTGCCTCAGCTTCCCAAAATGCTGGAATTACAAGTGTAAGCCACTGTGCTCCCCCTTTTTATTAAGTGAAAAATATTTTAATGAATTTGTATGTTTACAGTTTTTTTCCCATTTTCCCTGTTTTCTATTTTGTTAAAAATGAGGTAAAAAAGTATAAAGTCTATTACCATAAATTTCTGCTTCCTGTTAACATGAACATTTAATATAAAGTAGAAAAACGAATATATAGGGGAAAAGAAAACAGGAGGAGAGAAGGTGAGGGCAATATCAGCTGGAATTTGTAGAGGGAAAAGAAATGTACAATTTATGATGCAGAGAGAAAACATGAAGGTAAATATGGACATGAATTGGGAAGAAAAGGGAAAAAGAGGAGGAAGCCAGAAGGAAGGAAGGAGGGGGGTCCCATAGTTCTTGAAAAGACTAACAGAGCTAGTAAAAATGAACAGACTGAGTGAGTATAGACAGAAGAAAATCTCAATTTAATCTCATCAAAGTTAGTTGATGTAAGATTGGAGATGCTGCCTCAGTGGCAGCCCAGAAGGACTTTTGTTGAATATGCAATTAAATGTTGAATGAAGAAGCCAACAAATAGTATTGGCCAATTTCGTCTAACATCTTGCTTCTAGGAATCCTTCGTTTCTATTAAGGCTGATAGTTTGCTTAAGGACAATGAATCACAGTGGTGACATCTCATAATATTCTCATATACAAATTCTCCTAACTCAATAAAAGTAAATGCAAATCTGCTGTCAGAGGCTATAGTGTCTGGCAAGACATGTGATATAAATAATCGGTGTGGGGCTGTCATTATGACAGCAGGCATTTGAACTGAAACTGATGTTGCACTGAGGCCACTGGGATTAATTTTAACACTTGAATAATCCTGCAGTATCAATATGCAATTTTGACCAAAAATTTTTTGAGTCATTTCCTAGGAAAATGTTGGTGCTTTTGGAGCATTATGTTTAATTTCTTGACCTGTGCTAGACTAATCAGGTCTTTTGTTTTCTAATTCTCCCCGAAAAAGCAAATTGGTTTAAAATTTAAAAAGGTGTACACATCTAATTTGACATGTTAATAATACATCAGCATATAAAATTAAAATTGAGTATCTCTTCAAAAAAAAAAAAAAAAAAAGGAGGAATGGGCCAGGCATGGTAACTCATGCCTGTAATCCCAGCACTTTGGGAGGCCGAGGCAGGTGAATTGCTTGAATCCAGGAGCTCCAGACCAGTCTGGGCAACATGGCAAAACCCTGTCTGTAAAAAAAAAATTTAAAAGTTAGCCAGGCATGGTGGTGCACACCTGTAGTTCCAGCTACTTGTGAGTAGTTGGAAGGATCTGAGGTGGAAGGATCGCTTGCACCTAGGAGGTTGAGGCTGCCGTGAGCCCTGATGGTTGGTGCCACAGTACTTCAGGGTGGCAGAGCAAGACCCCGCCTCAAAAAAAAAAAAAAAAAAAAAGGAATGTTTCTCAATCCCCAGGAGCAACTACAGTTAAGAGTTTCCTAAATCTGCACATCTTGCACATGTACTCCTGAACTTAAAAGTTAGAATTTTTTTTTTTTTTTTAGATGGCGTCTCGCTCTTTTAGCCCTGGCTGGAGTGCAGTGGCATGATCTCAGCTCACTGCAACCTTCACCTCCCTGGTTCAAGTAATTCTGCCTCAGCCTCCTGAGTAGCTAGTATTACAGGCACCCACCACCATGCCCCGCTAATTTTTTGTATTTTTAGCAGAGACAGGGTTTCACCATGTTGGCTAGACTGGTCTCAAACTGCTGACCTCAGGTGATCTGCCTGCCTCAGCCTCCCGAAGTGCGGGGATTACATGTGTGAGCCACCACTCCCGGCCAGAAATTATTTAGAAAACAGTTTCCCATTTGTCTGTGCCTCCAATGCATCGAGCACACTTCAGCCTCAGGGCCTTTGCCCTTCCTCTTCCTTCTATGTGGAATGTTCTTTTCCCACATCCGTCCTTTAGGAATGTCCTCAAATATCTCCTTCTTAATGAGGCTTTCCCTGACTATCTTCTCCAACACTGTAGCCCTGTCTCTGTCCAACATTCTCCCCCTTGCTCCACCCCACCAAGGACTACAAGCTCCATGAGGCAGTAAGTTTTTTTTTGTTTTTGAGACAAGGTCTTGCTCTGTTACCCAGGCTGGAGTGCAGTGGAGCAATCACAGCTCACTGCAGGCACACACTCCTGGGCTCAAGTGATCCTCCCATGCAGCCTCCCAAGTGGCTGAAGCTGCAGGTATGTGCCATCACCCTGGCTAAATTTTTTTATTTTTTATTTTTAGCAGAGACAAGGTTTTACTTTGTTGTCCATGATGGTCTCAAAATCTTGAGCTCAAGTAGTCCTCTTAGGTTGACCTCCCAAAGTGCTGAGATTACAGGTATGAGCCACCACACTCAGCCAACAAGGTTTTTTTTTTTTTAAAAAACAAACTGTTTTATTCTGTTGAATTCCTATAGCCTAGAAAAATGCCTGATGCATAGCATGTACTTAGTATGTATTTGTTGAAATAAATGAATTCACATTTATTCTTAGAAATATTAGAATATATTATTATATGTACAATTTGACAACTTTTTAAATATACTCAAAAGAGAGTCATAGGTATCTTTCTATTTTGGCACTTAAAGATATCCCTTATTTCTTTTAATGGCTACATACTTTTTTCTTACGAAACAAGTACTATAAACTGGCCATTCTTCTTCATTTTATTTTGTTTTATTTTATTTGTTAGATACATGTTTTCATGCTGGTTGCCCAGGCTGGAGTGCAGTGGTGCAATTGCAGCTCACTGCAGCTCCAGCCTCAACCTCCCAGGCTCAAGTGATCCTCTCACCTCAGCCTCCCGAGTAGCTGGGACTACAGGCACATGCCACCACCTTCAGCTACTTTTTAAAAATATTTTTTGTAAGGACGGGGTTTCCCCATGTTGTCCAGGCTGGTCTCAAACTTCTGGCCTCAAACAATCCACCCACCTCAGCTTCCCAAAGAGCTGAAATTACAGTCTTGAGCCACCACGCCCGGCCAACTATTTTTATGTTGATGTACATGTGATTTTGCTCCAATTTTAATTGATTTCTTTATTGGGGAGATGGGGCAATGCTATAATTTTTTAATACAAAAAAATAATGCTGTAATGAATATCACTGCTCATATATTCTCTTTGGGCCCTTTCAATATAACAGTAAAGTCTGGGCCACCTGACACTCTTTCTTGGCAAAGCTTTCATGTATAGTAAGTTCTCAATGTCACTGTAAATAGATTACTGAAAACTGCTACTTTATGTAAAACCATATATAATGAAATCAATTTTACCATGAGCTAACTGATAATAAACAAATGTTAAGTTCCTATGGCATATTTCTGATCACAACAATATCACCAAGTTTCTATAAAGAGACCCAAAACACTTCTAATAATAAAAATTGAAGTAAATACAATAACTTGTCTTCAAGTGTTTATCCATTTTCCAACTCTCTGATTCCAGATCAGGGTCTTGGGTGGCTAGAGCCTGTCCAGGCAGCTCAGGGTGTCAGGCAGGAACCAATCCAGGACAGGATGCCCTTCAATTGCAGGGTGCAGTCACATGCACACTCACGCTCACTCAGCCTGGGGTCATTCAGACATGCCAGCTAATCTAAAGTACACATCTCTTGGATGTGGAAGGAAACCAGAGTCTCCAGAGAAAACCCATCCAGGCTTGGGAAGAATAGGCAAACTCCACACAGGCAGTGGCTGAGCCAGGAATTTATTTTTTTCCTCATCACATTATAACAAAACAATGTTGAACAAAATGATATCATTTGAGGGCCTGCTGTGTAAAATTTGCAATATGCTTCATTTTTTTGTGGCTAGGAATATGTGATAACTACTTTATGAAATACCATATCATTTATCTTTGTTATTAGTTCATAAATGAGCTAGTAATTCTTTTTTTTTTTTTTTTTTGAGACAGAGTTTCGCTCGTTGCCCAGGCTGGAGTGCAATGGTGCGATCTCGACTCACTGCAACTTCCGCGTCCTGGGTTCAAGTAATTCTCCTGCCTCAGCCTCCTGAGTAGCTGGGATT